TGCGGATACAGACTAACACGGCTGCTACTCTGAAAAGTTAGTCCCGTTTTGCCAACTGCAGTCCTTCCTGTCACTCAAAGCTCTAGGAACCTGCACTTTACTGTTAAAGTAAGAGAGAAAGGAAGGAGCAGGACAGGACACAGCAAGAGAGAAAGCAGCCAACCCATTTCTAAAGGTGTTCCCATACAAAAGGCTGACACTCGTGTCCAGGACAGAGCAACAGCAATACCTTATAGTGACAAATACCCCAATATTGCTGTAGGATTAACCCTTTCTGATTTTCTGGGCTAAGACTAAAAATGCAGCTTATCTATCACCGTGTTTCACTTTAAGAAAGGAAACACGGTGGTAGATATTCCTCCACTCCCTTACATCCAGGGCAGAAACAAAACTTCAGTGAGACAAGAACTGGACATGAAATTCCACAGATCAGAAAACTTCCATCCCAAGCCAAGAGGGCACAGTGGTTCAGCATCCTAGTGATCAATGAACCTCATCCTAGGGGTCACAGACCTGCATGTGGTAGTACGTGCCACTGAATATAACGTTCCAGAGATCAGAGAGCTGCTGGAGCCAAGCCCAAAACAGAATCAGATCATCATGCTAATGGAAACATTTATCTCAGCCCCAGGAGGCTGCCGCTCAGGACCCTGCTACTACTACTAACTACTGTGAGGCAAAAGGAGACTGCTTGATGGGAGGTATATAAGCCCCAGGATGATCAGAGCCTTATTCCCTGTGGACTAAGGAGAGGGGACTACAGGTTAATTAGAGCACCTGGAGCCAATTAAGGCCCCACCAGAGACCTAAGACCTACTTCAGTCAGCCAGGAGAAGGGAAGGAGAGCTGACTGTAGTTTGGATGTGACTGGTGTTGACCAGAGGTTCAGAGTACCGGGGCAGGGAGATCCTGCCCAAGCAAGGCAGACGGACTTCCCCAGCACAGAGGACTGAGAGAAACCCTGCCCAAGGGGAAAGAGGTAAGAAGCCTGCGAAGCTGAAGGGGCTGGGACCGGAGTAGGAGGTGGACCTGGGTCCCTTCACTGCTCCCCTTTTCTCCTCCTCCAGGGCACTAGCGGAGCTCAAGAATAGGGGCAGGGGCAGCACCCTGACCCACCACACCAAGGAAAAGCATGGGACCCACCACAATAGCATTGGCCCTTTGCCAAACTACTCTATTGCCCAATATCAAATGAAGCAAAATTAATCAGTCTCTGTTGTGCCATTGGGTCCATACCCCTCCATCCTACAGCTTCTGTGATGCCACCAGATCCATATACCCATCTGGTGCCATTGAATCTGCAACACCAAATTCCAGGTTCTGTGGTGTGGTAGGATCTGAGCCCTCTCCCCAAGAGGATCTGAGACCTCTGCAGGGTCTGGGAATGCTGACAGTCAGTGTTTAAATGACAAAACAGGCGGTAAAGGAAATGCAGGCTGTTAATCAGGAACCCCTGATGGAGTCCACAGTTTGAGTGTAACTAACACCAGCTCATCATAGTTTCAGGAGACAGAGTTCATTCCATTCCAGGACTATTAATATAGCCAACTATTTATACTGCTGTGTTCCTACAGCACTAAAGCAGAGAGCTACAGCTGCAGAGCTAAAACGGAATAAAATGTCAACCACCAAGGAGAAAGTGATCATGCTAGAGACTGAAAGAAGAGACCGTGAAAAGACAGAATAAGAGACAATCTTCACAGATCCTGCCTGGTACTGCCGGGTTAACTGATCTTCATAGCTCTCTGATACCTGCAGCCTGAAAACAGAACCAGTCAATAATCTTACTACAGAAAATGAAGCTATTCTGAGAGGTTGCCAGAAATGCACGCTCAGCGAAGATTCTGATAGAGGGATAGAGAATTGAGCTAACCCGAAAGGAAGCTTTGCGGTCTCCAACTGCCTTGTTACCTGCTCTGATCAGAGTATGGAGAGCTCAGGAGGGCCGTACCTGAACACAGCAGCAGTGGCATCCCCGGTGGGAGTAGCCCGTTTGCTGCAGGTGGCGTTTGGATGTACTACTTTCAGCCTGGTGGCCCATCAGGGGGGATTCAGTGCAGCCTATGGCACCTTCTGCATGTTCGTCTGGTGTTTCTGTTTTGCTGTCACCATCTTTATAATAACCTGTGAGTTCACTCGTCTCCACAGCTGCCTGAGCATCTCCTGGGGAAATTTCACAGCTGCCTTTGCCATGCTGGCCACACTCATGTCCATCACTGCGGCTGTGATCTACCCGCTCTATTTTGCCCAGTTTGGCTGTTATTCCATCAGTTGCAAGGTGAGAGATTTCCGCATAGCAGCCAGTGTCTTTGCAGGGCTCCTGTTCATTGCGTATGCTGTGGAGGTGTTTCTAACCAGAGCCAAGCCAGGACAGGTGACCAGCTACATGGCCACAGTATCTGGCCTCTTGAAAATTGTCCAGGCCTTCGTGGCCTGCATCATCTTTGGGGCACTGGTAAATGACAGTCAGTACAGCAATTATGTGGCTACACAATGGTGTGTGGCTGTCTATAGCTTCTGCTTTGTGGTGACAGTGGTGGTAGTGGCCTTCAATGTCACAGGAAGGACAGCAATGCTGCGGTGCCCCTTTGAGCGCTTCGTGGTCATTTACACATTCGTGGCCATCCTCATGTATGTGAGTGCAGCAGTGATCTGGCCAGTGTTCTGCTTTGATAGTAAGTATGGGTCCCCATGGCGCCCCTACCAGTGCTCCCAGGGCAAATGCCCCTGGGACAGCCAACTGGTGATTGCTATATTTACTTATGTGAACCTGGTGCTTTACATTGTGGACTTGGCATACTCTCAACGCATCCGCTTTGTCTCACACCCTTAAATTCCCAATGCTGCCCCTGCAAAGCCATCAGGGCTCAAGCAACAACAGAGTTGGGAATCAGTTGGAGACAGGGGTCATAGAAAGTAGCTGCTGAGCCAGACACACCAATAAATTAAACAAACTTCAAGGTTAAGACTAGACCAGTAAATGAACGATCTGTAATGGGTGGGCAGCAGATGAGTCGGGAAAGAAGACCACAACCTTTCTTACCCATCAACATTTGCTTCATCCCTTCTGTATAGGGGAAAGGAATAGCATAGCAAACTGGATAGTATCCTTGCATCTCCACCAAACATGAGCATCTGCTGCAAGAGTGGCTACGTATGCCACTGGATTATCAGGCCAAATATTAAACTGGGATCAGTGAGGTCTTGGGACTGCCACCAACACTGAACTCTAACCAAGAAGTGACTGTATCCAGGGCAGACTGAGGAGTTCAGAGACCGCACCAGCTCTAGAACAGAATGAGGATCCTTCAAAATCCCAGACATTTGATGTTATTTCTGTTATGGCGAGAAATTCATTGCTTGTAAATATGGGAGGTTCTAGCAAAATGGGTCTGAGGGGGAAAAACATTACAGCAATTACGCTGATTTGAAGACTAGGAGTCCCCTCACTCGCCCACACACACTGTGGAATAAGCATCGCCTTGTGTATGTGCCAGGTTGGAAAGGTTAGGGATATTCTTGTTAAGGACACTCTGAGCCATTACAGAAGTGAAAGTTGCTGAGTCATAGTTCTACTACCCAGATCTGGAGTGTGTGCTGGATCCAAGGCCTCGAAATAACCACTTTTAGTTTGAGCTCCTCACTGTTCACTCAAGCAGGGTCTGGAGATACAGCAGCTCCGTGCTCATGTAAAAGTTGCTTAATAGGCCAATATATATATGAACTGACAGGGCCGTAGCAACAAAGAACGTGACCCCCTCCGAACATATGTCCGGGCGGGGCCCCTTACAATGCAGAAACTGGAATGCGGTATTTATTTTGCCACTTTTAGGGGCCCCCTTCCTTGCGGGGCCCCCTCCGGTTGGAGGGTATGGAGGGCGCTCGCTACGCTTCTGTGAACTGATGGAAATTAAAGGTGTGTTCTGTGGGGAAAAAGAATGGGGACAGAAAGGGACTGGTCCCACCCTACTGCTCCAGGCCCCTGCAGGTTACAGATAAGATGATCAGCCTCATGGGGGAGAGGGGGAAATGCTTAAATCGTTAATGGATCCAGCCAATTTTCTCAGACCAGATTAAATTCCAGGACCCCTAACTCTCTGCCCTTTGCTTTACCTGCCAGCTGCACAGCCACCTCCCTAATCCTTCTTCAGCAAACACCCTCTCTGGTCTCCTATAGCATGGCTCAGGATTACTTCCCATGGAAACTGCCTTTCTTCATCCAAGGGAATTCCCAATCCAGCAAGAAACCAAAGCAGTTTGTTTTTATTCAGATACTTGTACAGAATGTGTGTGAATCTAATAGGAGGTCAGATTAGAAACCACAAATAAAAATGACACATTGTCAAAAGTAACTGTGTTTAATTTGAAATAAAGCCACATGGTAACCTTACAATGCACACACCCACACAGCTCCATACACTCCCACCATCCCCCGCCCAGATACAGCCTCTCCAACTTCACCTTTCCCATCAAAAATACACCACCAGACGCTCCTCTTCTATTTCTCCCCCCCAAAAAAATCCCACCTTATCTTCCCCAGACAGACCCCCCCCCCCAAAACAGATTTCCACACATTCCTTCCCCTACCCCCTGGGAAAAGCACTGCCTATAGTTTATTTTTTAATGTATAAAGTGTGCGCTGTCTAACATGACTCAGGATGGGAGTACAAAATCTAATAGTCAAGTCCACTGAGCACCATGTTCTGCACCAGGGTCTCTAAAGATCCCAGCTGTTCTCTCTCAGCAGAAGGTGCAATCTGGAAGGAAGGAACCATTTCACAGTATCTCAATATAGATCATGGAGTTTGGGCAGCTAAAGAAAAACTATGTGGGAGATGTTGGGTGATTCTGCTGCTCTCTCTCCAGGTTAGAAGCAACCATTTTGACTAGAACCCCAGGGACAAGCTTTATCAAGCCCAAGACAGAGCTGCTCCCACAGTCAAACAAGAAAATGCATGAAAGACGTTTCCCAAGAGGGTTTTCACCACACTAGGGAGAAGTAGACAAAAGCCTTCCAGGGGATTTTCCTCCTGCACAGATTCACAGCTTGGACAGGAGCTCTAAAAGGGAGTGAGTGGCTCTATTGGAAGGCATCCAGTTACATGGAGCCAGCCAGCTCAATGGGACAGTAGTAATAGAAAGGGACCAAAACTGTGTAGCGTGATACTAGATAACTAGGGATGTTTTATGGAATGCAACTTTATGGCTCAAAATCAAAAGAAACCAAAACCAGGAAATTCAGATACATTTATTTAACAATCTGAATTCTATCCCTTTCATTTAGAATTTGGTGCACTTTGTATTGTCTATGTTGTTAAATTTAGGCATAAATGCATCTAGTAGCAACTGGAGCCCTTGTAGATTCCTGGAGTGGTTTCAATTCCAAATCAAATGTCTTGAGTATGCACATTGCATGTGGAAGTGCATTTATCTCACTTAATTAAAAGTCGACAAAAGTAGTCATGGTACATAACTATTCAAAGAAATATTCAATTGGTATTATATTTTTTTAACTATATCACCCACCAAATAAAAAAAAAGTTGTCCACACCCCATCTAGTCTAGGTTTTACTGAAAGTATTTATTTTTGTTTTATTATTTATTATTGTAAATATTTGTTGTTGTTATTTATTGGATGGACTTGGCCCAGATGCTGGGAAAGGTGTGAAACTCTCCATAGAGGAATTATTGGCTTGCTTTGTAAAAAGTGCAAGTGGAAAAAGGGACTGTCTCTTTAAGAACCATGTCTTTGAGGAATCTGCAGTGGATATAAAAGGCCTGGCAGGAGCCCAGGGAGTTGGTCACCAGTGACAGGTGTCCAGCAAGCAAGCACTGTTTATTGCTGGAGATGACATCGTTAAGTGCTGTGTGCAGTGAGGGCTGAGTGCAGAGGCACCGACTTCCCCAGTTCCTGGGCGGTACTCAACCCCTGCTCCACCCCAGGACCTGCCCTCACTCCAGTTCTCCCCCCCTCACGTTCCCATCCCCACCTCATCTCTTCTTGCTCCTGCTCCTCCTCCCAAGCCTCCTGAATGCTGCTGATCAGCGGCGGGTGGGAGGTGCTGGGGGGGGGAGAGGAGGAGCTGATCTGTGGGGTTGCCAGTGGATGCTGAGCACCCACTTTTTTTTTTCTGTGGGTGCTCCAGCCCTGGAGCGCCCACAGCGTCAGCGCCTGTGCCTGACTGGAGTTTCCCTCCACTCTGAACTAATTACCTGGGACTTGGAAAAATCTGCCAATGATACAAAATAATGTGTATTATAGGAGACTAAGGTCTTGTCTACACTACAAATGTTTTGCCAGTATAGCTACTGTATATTGGCAGAGCCCCCTAGTGTAGACATAGTGACAGAAGGAGTTTTTCTGTCAGCACAGTAACACCACCTTCCTGAACAACATTAGTTATGCTAACAGAAGCTTTCTTCTGTCAGCATAGCTGTGTCTACATTGCAGGTTTTGCTGGGATCACTATGTCCACTATGGAGTGTGTGTTTTCACACCCGATTGATATAGATATGCTGATAAAAATTTGCAGTGTAGATATGGCCTAAGGAGAGTAAGGAACTGCAGATGGGTCCAGCAGAATATGGTATCTGAGCAGCAGGAAGGCAGGTGAAATTCAATATCTTGTATAGACACAGAAAGATACAACTTCAACTCAGACACAGTGCTGGGGCCTAAATAAGGTCAAGTCCTAGGAACAATCTAGGTATTGTGCACTGATCAGTGACAATGTCTGCTCAGCTGTGCCCATCAAAAGAGCAAATAAGATGTTAAGAAGGAGTGTGATTGATGGTGAATATGGATCTGGATGCTAAACATATTTTTCTGTATAGGGTTTCTGAGGTGGTGTGTTGGAATGCTGGGCTGAAAACTTTTAGCACGTGTTTAGTCAAAACTGTAGAAAGTTCTCTCAATGTCCAAAAGTCCCAGCTTTGGCTGCTTCTGCTCCTACCAGCTGGCATCTCCAGCTGGCTCCCCTCTACAGTTTTCTACCAAGGAAACATAGAGAAAGAACATAAGAATGACCATATGGGTCAGACCAAAGGTCCATCAAGCCAGTGTCCTGTCCTCTGACAGTTGCCAATGGCAGATGCCCCAAAGGGAATGAGGGATGTGCTGGCCGCTGCTTCCCACAGCCCCCATTGGCCTGGAGCGGCGAACCATGGCCACTGGGAGCCGCGATCAGCCAAACCTGGGGACGCAGCAGGTAAACAAACCGGTCCGGCCCGCCAGGGGCTTTCCCTGCACAAGCGTCAGAACAAGTTTGGGAACCACTGCTCTAAAGGAAAGTAACTCCAGAAAGGAGGAAGAGTAGTAAGGAAATACAAATAGGAATTAACACAATCCTTTCTCACACCTGCTGTGCCCCTTAAATCCTCTTCCTCCATTGAAAGAAAGGCTCATTGATCCCTGAGATATGCCACATTCCTTTCAAAGGAGACACTGTTGCTGCAGCAGGATACCAAGGCAGAATCAGACAAAAGAAGATAAAATGGAATGTTTGGAATCAACAGCTGGAAAAGGCCACTTCAAAATCAGTTCTATCTCAATTAAGGTCACAGCTCTGATGTGGAGAGACAAGAACAGAATCCATACCCTTGTTTATTAGGTCTCAGTTCTTACTGAACTCCAGTCCTGTACCCTAAGCACCATGCTGTCTCAAGGAGCAAAGACAATGTTCGTTCAGTTCTTAGTTTCTCCCCACCACTGAGGCACCAGGGCAACCCCTTGAGCTGGGACTGAGAGGGATGGACATACATATTTAAAAAATCTATTTTAATGCAACTTTATGGCTCAAAATCAAAAGAAACCAAAAACAGGAAATTCAGATACATTTATTCAACAATCTGAATTCTATACCTTTCATTTAGAATTTGGTGCACTTTGTATTGTCTATGTTGTTAAATTTAGGCATCAATGCATCTAGTAGCAACTGGAGCCCTTGTAGATTCCTGGAGTGGTTTCAACTCCAAATCAATTGTCTTGAGTATAGTTCTTGCAGAACACAATGAAAAGTTGGACCCTTCTATGTGAAGACATCATCACAATGTTCCTCTGTAGCACACATGTACTGATAATGAGATGTGTCCCTCAGAGTGTCTGAGTACAAATAGCAGCCCTCATCACTTTGATTCACGCAGCTGGAATTCTATGGAAGGGCCTAATGTGTTATTATGAAGCCCCAACACTGGCTGTTTGGCTGTGCTGCAGCCCCTGAGGCAAGAGATTGAGATTCCTGCACCAAAAGTGTCAATTCATCCAATTAAGGGGTTAGTGGTCTCAAAAAGCACTCCAACTGCAAACACTCACTCTCCTGCTGATGCAGAGGAAGAGGAATGCCTCAAAGCTAGGGCCTGCAGCAGAACTCCACTGAGGAGACATCGGCTATGTTTACACTTGCAGAGTTTTTGCGCTGTCAGTTTCACCAGTGATAGGGAACTGGTAAAAGAAAAGTGCTGGTTTGTGTTCTTACTTATTTCCACAGGCGTCAGATTGTTTTCACATTTCCAGCACTTCCATCCGATGAGAGCAGTGCACTGAGGGCAGCTATCCCACAGTGCTGCTCTCTGCATTTTGAGGATAGGTCTTGTGGGAAGGGCAGGGGGGTGATCGCGGAACATTCTGGGTCCCTGCACAGCCTCCTCTCCCCAAACACTGATCAGTTCCAGTACCTCCCTGGAGCAGCCATTGACACCTGGCCAGATGATAAGTGAGCACTTGCCAAGAAAACAGGAAGGGGGAGTTTCAAAGTTCCCAGGGCTTTACAGGGGGAGGGGTAGACATCGGTTTACCTAGCATCAGAGCAGCAGAGCTGCTGGCCAGAGTGGTCACCTAGGCACTATGGGATATCCGCTGGAGGCTAAAAGCTGTGTAAACAGGAAGAATGTGTCTTCACTTGCACATCACCACAAAAGTATCACTGGTAAGAACTGTATGCCTCTTGTGAAGGTGGTTTTCTGTTTACAGTGAAACTTCTGAGTTTTACCACAGAGTCATTGACCAGATGCTCCCATGTTTTTTGCACAAAAAGAGACTTTTTGTGCTTTAAAGGGCAAGTGTAGACATGCCCACAACCTCTCTCTTTTTCTCCTGCTTTGGTCTTTTGTGCAGAGGCTCAGTGGTGCAAACAGTTTCCCTAGTACGTTTATTAAGGTTTACCATTACTCAGTTTCCACACAAGAATTTCTTTATTAGTCCAAAGGCCATTTGATGTTGGTTATGTCCAAAATATCAATACAAACAAACACACATATATTCAATATCCTACCAACAATACAATTACAAGCATTGGCCAAATACTCACAACAGAATTGAGCTCAAGAAATACCTTCCCTTCATGGCGAGACTTCAGAGGAGTAAGGAAAAGTTCTGACATATATCCCTAAACAATTTGCCTCTTTATACACTATAATAAACAAGTGATGGTGTTTTTTTATTTTTATATATATTTATATATATAAAAATTTATATATATTTATTTTATTTATATATATATCAGACCTTAGCTGTTGAGTCTGAACTTTTGATGAGCTTAAACTTAACCCAGACTTGATGTCTCTGTCTGAACTTTTAATCAAAG